CCAACTCCTAATATTCTGTGATTCTGTGGTAGGCATAACTAGAATGGCTTTTTGAAACAAGAGTAAATACAGAAAGTTTTGGTAGAAAAGAATTATTTCATTACTGCTTAAAAAATATAATAAGAATAAATTCCAATGTAGTAAACTGTCAGATGAGAGAAATACAATTATATTTTAAGGAGTTCAGATTTGTTGTAAGATGTAAATACTGAAGCTAGAAACAGTAACTAAATTTCCTCCCATCCATCTCCCTACACACCTATAAATTAACAAAAATAAAGTGAAGACAAATTATAGCTTGAACTAAAAAGAACAAAATAGTGGGCTTCTATTTTTCCTGAGTTTTTTATTGTACCATTCCTGGAATTATACTGGGAAACAGAAAGGGTGAAGCTGTGATCTTACTGAAATCAGTTGTAGAATTTAACTGGCTGTGAGGTTATCAGTCTTGTGTCAGGCGTTCAGCTGCGGAGGCTGACAACCCATCTTCTTACATGGGCAGTGAAGGCAAAAAGAAGATTTACCTGCAGTATGTCTGTGACTGCTGCATTAGACAAAATCAAAGCAAATTAAATGCAAGAAGTATGTTGCTGTAATGAAATCCTAGAGATGAAACAGCCCTGGAAGGAGCTACAAACACCTCTACTGGGTGCTGTCATCAACATCACTTACTGGAGATGCACTTAGTCTACCAGTTGCTAACACCAGAAGCTGATAAATAAAATGAATAAATAAATACATTAAAGATTTCTAACCAGCTTTTTTTGGGAGGACAGTCCTTGACTGGCAGTGGCAAAGGAAAGGTAGCAAATTTGTTCAGGCAGTATGGGATGAAGAAGTCAACCTGCATATTCTGTGCTTCTTCCTTCAACATGTCCCGCTCAGCACATAGCACTGCATGGACCGATGCATTGAACGTTGAGTGAAGTTCCCTGAAACGCTCAGGGAATGTCCCTGGGAGATGTGAAAAAGAATTGCTGGCATTTGAATAATTTAATTTCACTCTGAGTAATTTTTCTTTGATTGTTTGGGAAAATCATAGCCCTTAAACAGAAAAGTTCAGGATTTTATAACTGGAGTTTACTTTAAAAAATATCACCAGTTTGACATACCACTGTTGTAATTAAATCAATGTCATGGCTTTTGCAGGAACACACTGAAATTAGCCCAAAGTCTAAGCTAGTAATTGTCTGTATTAAAGTAAAACAAATCTAAATAAATGTAACAAAAATTATACCAGATGAAAAGCTGTATCAACTGAGCTGAGGTAAAAATAGCCACTGAATTGCTATTACGTGTATAGTCTAAAAGACTGTGGAGAACTTTGGCTCTTTTTTTCCAGAGGAAACATTTGTGTTCTTTTCCAAAAGATATTTTTCCTGCTG